TAGTGCTTGTCTTCCATTAGTACCGCTACAGAATCCTGTTTTCTATTTCTCACACAACTGCTTTAAAATCCATTTAAAAAAATGAAGAATACAATCCTGCCATCTCTTCAAAGATTTGCTTTTACAGTGCAAAGCTATGCTGTTGCCACTTGCCATTAAAGATAATCATTCTAGTGTGGTTTTCTTTCACTAGCATTTGTGTTATTCTACAAACTCTTTCATTATACCAGTTACCACTATAAAAGGAATTGCAAATCTTAACACAATTATTAGTCTTGATTTTCAGCCTCTCAGCAGAGCTGTTTTCGATGGAGCACGGGGGAGCAGGAAGGAATACGACTCAAGACACTGCAGTCGATTGTTGCCTCCGAGCACATACACTTAGATTGCTTTTCTTTGATGCTGTTGCCAGTTTCATTCACAAGTGTATAAAAAAAGGTCATGACATTTAGAATAACAGTACTCTGGAAATTAAATGTTCCTTTACTTTTTTAATTTCTGAAAGTAATTTATTATGGAATAATATTTGAATATGATTGAATGAATGCGTAAAGATTAATGCAAACTGCCTTCAAATTGGAAGTTCACAAGCACATATATTTAACCTTGTTGTATAACAGGCATAACAAAGTTTATGCAGTAGCTCAAGGAGCTGCATTTCCATTTTGCTGGAAGCATTCGCACTGTAATTCTCCTTAGTACTTTTCCACTGACATATCTGTATGAAGCATGAGGCTTAGCTCTCTATCATTTTCTACTTAAGATTATGCTGTACTTGAATGGATTTCACAAACTTGGCATCTAAACCGGAGTAGAAACAGTCTCTCTACTGTCTACATCGTTCTTTTATACGAATTTTTTGCATAAGAAATCAAGTTATTGATTTTTAAACCAATTCAGCAATATTAATGATACCATAGTACTACATGAGGAAAATAAAAGAATTTTAGGTTAAGACTAGAGAAACCACTAGGACACCAAGTAACCAAAATGCTAGTTAGAAGCTCCAGACTGAGAGGTCGGGAGGCCTGAAGAAGGGTAGACCACCTGAGTGATGCTGTGAGCAGGTAGGCTTCATGGTTGTGAAATGTTCTGCCACGTGATTGCCTTGTGCATGTCACACACATCAGCTTAGACAGTATTCGTGGCTTTTTCCTCCAAAACCAGGTGACACTGCTTGTTGAGCAAAAAGGGGAATCTTCAGGAAAGGTGGTACTATTGAGAGTTTTTCTATGGTCAGCAATTAGAATTCATAATTCTCACAAAAACCTATGGAAAGCTGGCTAGCATCCAGACCGCAAAGGGCAGACAAACACAATACAAAATTCCTCTTCAGATTCTGCTAAAACTACACCTGGCTATAATTTGTCTGGGTATTTAGAATTTACTCGTGAGCTCTCAGGGAAACTCCTGGGAACTCTTTGCTAGAAGATTGACAGCACAGAAATATTCGGTTCGAGACTTCCTTACGCTCCGCAGGCCAGCTGGAGAGACACAGTCTGGAGAGAGGAGTCTGAGTAAGTAAGTTTAAGAAAGTCTTAATTGGCGTTACTGGCATATTCAAAGATTCAGAGGAAAATTTAAGATAAATCCTGTTAGAATGCCCCTTCATTATTGATTATTGGAGCCTCAATACTAAATTCTTTTGTGGGCATTTCTCTAATGAAGTCCATGGAGGTTTGCCCACTAACACAGTGGTTCAAATTGGCTCCTGGATTTATATGGCCAGACAGTGCTGCTGTTTTGTTTGCTGAATGCACAATGAAGATCTACGAATTGCTTGGCTGCAGATTAACGAAGCAAGTGTCTAAAGAGGAAACAGGGCAGGCAGCTGAGACGGATGCTGCACCACCTTCAGTGGACTGCCTTCCGGCTTATTTCTTGAGCTCCTGACAATTTTGGATGGAAGCTGCTCTTTAACCTGTCGCTCCAAAATGTCGTGATATGGAAGCAGCTGTTAAAAAGCACAGTATAGAGTTTAATTCAAATGATGCTACTGTTCATGAATCCCAAGGATGTGCTCATCTGCACCTATCTGCTCCAGGAGCAGATCCTTTATGCCTCCCGAGGACCTGTCTACTCCACAGAGAGGCAGGGGGCAAACACAACAGCAGGGGCTGCTGCCCTGTGCTTCGGGAAACTGCAGCACATCATTGAGGAGATTTCAGCGCCTATTCCAGAAAGCAACGGCCAATGACATGGCAGAAGATTATATTGCTATTTGGTTTTGGTAACTATGCACACACACGTTCACCTGTACACCTGTACCAGTGTCTTCCTAATGACGCTATAATCAGCCTCATGAGCAGTTTCTTTGCACACACTCGATGCAGTAGATGCCTAGTGTAGTATTTTGAACCTTTCTATACACTTTTGATGAAGACTTTCCTTATTTCCTAGGTGACTGTGCTCCTTCAAGAGGGCAGGAGAAAACCTGCAGAGCACCCTCTTCGTGCCAGAAGTGAGGCTGGCACTTAACAGTCTTGTTCTTTCTGCTGTCACCAGGGCAGTGGCATGACTACTGTTAACTCAAGTTTGGCCTCAGGAGAAAGCATTCAGGAAAGTTGCTCCACAGATCACCCAATCCATTAAATTGATGCTTTGTTGGCTAGAGTTTTGAGTCAAGCAAAACAAGAGCCTGGGCTTCAGAATACATATACTCTGTCAAATTGCATTTATCAAGATAAGGGTTATTAGAATCTTTTTTCTCTTGTGTGAATGAAATTGTAAGCTTAAAATGTCACTGAAGATTTATTAATCTGATACTCCTTCTGATAAGGGCAACAAAGAGGGCATACAGGGAGCAGCTTATGAGAAGAAAAGTATATGTTTGTGCCTGCCTGACTGCAAGAGAGAGAAAATATGAATAAGGCAATTTATCAGCGAGTATTCTGTAACCAAAAGATTCAAACCACATAAAGCAATATTAAAGTTATATATTGATTTCAGAGCCTTGCCATCTAAAATGCTTCATCTCAGTTTGATAGCTATGCAGAAAAATGCCTGTCATTTGCAGAAGATGGAATAAACCTACATTTTCGAAATCTATGCTGCAGAATCACTTTTTGTTCCAGAAAGCAGATGAATCATTACAGCTTATGCATGATGCTAAGTTTATTGTAGTGTACTGGAGGAGTTTTGGTACATAAAACCCCCCCAGAAATAAGGTGAGCGTTGTTAAAGAGTGCAGCTCCAGTTAAGTTCCCTCTGGTTTTACGTGACAAACCTCTCAGCCTCTAAAGAAGCAAAAACTTCTGATAACTTCAACTGCAGTTTTGTTTGCGAGTACGTAACAAAGAAAGGCAGAAAGAACGGCAGGCAGGAAGGAAAAGGACTGCAGGATTTGATCTCCTGGTAACAATGTCAAGGAAACTCCAGCATTGTTTCCCTATTTGCATGCAAGTCATATGCAGTGATCTTCAGACTCTAATCCTTCAAGGGTTTAGGTATGTGCTCAACCTCAGGAAGACTGATCGTTTGCTTAAAGTTAAGCATATGCATATGGTTTTCGTAGCACCAAAGTGAAATTTGCCCTGAGCGCAAGGCCGCCAGCGGAAGCGCTGCCCCCGGGAAGCTCTGACGGTAACTTTGCCAGGCTGCCCGTGTTGCCCCTCTGCCCGCTCTCCTGGAGCTTTCATCTGAAAACTGGTGACACTGTGCTGGAGGCTAAGGTACGTGCAGCACCTTCACCAGTGTTGTTTAAAGTATCTTTTTTTTTTGCTCTTTCTGTCTTTACTACTGTTGGAATGTGTCCATGGTGGGGAGGAGTAACATCAAAGAGAGGTTCTCAAATGTTTTTGGGTCAAGCAGCCTGCTGTCAAAGCTTCATCCTTTTTGCATTCCACGTGTAGGTGCACAGGGCAAACCATCACATTTCACCGCCTAACGTGACACAGCAAACCCTGTGCAAATCACTGCTTTGGCCTTGTAAGCTATTAGTAGAGACAGGAGGCCAGCAGCTGACAGTGATTTAACTCTATTAGCACTCTTCCTAAGGGGGAGAAGACAACACTGTATTTACGAGGCTAATATTCGCCTTGCTACAGCTGCTCACACGAGCACATCTGCACTAATTTTAAGAATCCATAGCCACAAGCAACTTTTCTTTTCACTTCCAACAGGCTTTGCCCCTAACAGAGCTGAAGCTCATTGACAAAGCCTGGCTGTTTTGCTCTTAGTCAATCTATTCTGTTTTGCTCTTAGTCAATCTATTCTGCAAGAACTAATTCCCTCTGGATGGTGGTCACTCCTAGACAGTTTGCGATCACTTCCTTGGGAAAGAGCTGGGGGCTTGAATCAGCTCACTAGCTTTACAGACCTAAATATAGCATCGCTGAGGAGCTGTCAGACAAAACAGCCAGTGGTGGTGAGACGCCGGTCTTCAGTTTTATATAACATCATTTATGATCAGTTTGTTGTCGCATGGTAACTCTTGTACCGTCAACCAAACAGTTTTATATATAAAATACAGATGCATAAATATAGTGAACGTTTATTCAATTTCTAATGTTAATAATGGTAACAAGAATGACAGTACAGCACCTAAGCAACACGTGTTTGTGAATCTGTGCCCATGCAACTTTAAAAATCATATGGGATGACATACAGAAAAACTCATTTGGCTACCAATATATATTCTTTTTCATTGAGAGGGACTGTCTTTACAAAGTAGTGAAGTCTCAAGGAGTTTTTTCTTTTCTCTCTTCTTTTATAACGCTTCAGTATTTTTATTCAAAATATTTTTCACTCAAAAGAGATAACTCATAAGCCAGAATTCAGTTTTCCTATGAGACTCTCTATTGAGTGGGTGCTAGTTTTGCTGCAGGCGTGATGTTTGAAAGCACTGCATGCTAGTTGTACCGTAGCGGATCATATGGCTTCAGCATTTTCCCAAGAAGTGTTACAAAATCACCAAGAAAAGAACCATCTTTCTTAAGCTTTCCTGAGAACAAAGCAGGAACCGCTCAGTCAGTTAAAATTTCATTAGCAGGTTAACTCACCAGCCTTCTCCGTCTTGTGTTTTGGATTTTCAGGTCCTGGAAGGCAGGGGCAGGGCCCTTCACATTGGGCTGTGATGGCTTTGCCGGAAGTACACGCATGAAACTCCAACTTGCACTGGAATCATAAAAAGGAAAGAATGTGTTTTGAATTAGGACAAGATATAAAAGCAGCAGCTGCGGATTAATTGAGAAATCGCATTTGGCAATGATGGCATTGGACAGATTGCAAAACTTCAGTCTCTGTTGAAAATGCCATTGTTTTTATTATTACAGATAACAACAATAACAACTACTTCCTATGCAGGGTTTGGCACTGGCACTTTTAAACATGCCTCATAAAATGTTATTATTCCCTGCTTATAGATATGGAAAGTTGAAACAATTTCTTCCAGGTCACCTGAGCAATCAGCAG